TTTTTGTTCTTGTGTATTTTAAATGATGTGTTGTGTTATGTGTATCTGGTTCAGGTATTTCTTGTTGAGGGATGTGTATGATGATATGATGTTGGATGGAGTGCAGCCTACAATGGACGTTTTCCATTCGCTGATTACTGGATCCATGAAAGGCGCTCGTTTCCAAGATGCATTTTTCTTCAGAGATGAAATGAAGGCCATGGGGTTGATTCCTGATGTAGGTACTTTTTGGAAATGAATTGAGTCTTTTTTCTCTCTCTCACGTTATGCTCTAAATCTTTCGATTCTTCATTTTCTTATTTTTGGCAACCTTTGTTTCTGTATGTGCATATATGTTTTGTAGGTTACTCTGTATAACATGCTGATCTCATTATGTGGTAAATGCAACAACTCTGAAGAGGCTGTCCGGGTAGGTTTCTGTTTGTTTTTAAAGCCCAACTTTTTTTTTTTTATAGTCATCGAAGGAAAATTCAGAACTTTCTGTTGATTTTCAACTATTCTGTGTTTGATTGAAGATCTTAGATGAGATGAGGAGATATGAAGTGAAGCCACATTCACAGACATACATCTGCCTACTTAATGCCTGTGCAGTTGCTGGTAGATTAGATCGCGTGTATGCTACTTCTTTCACTACCTACACTCTTATTCTTTTGCCTGCAAGTATTATAATCCTGTATCCTTAATGTTGTATCTGATAAATCGATGGAAGAAAAACTATCACCACTACATTCAGTCACTTTCTATTTCCTAAGATTAATGGCCTTAGATTCATCTTCACCTTGCTCTTAGTTTTTTTTCCAAACAATCGAGTATATCTTGGAGACTCGGTATAATAATTGACAAGGTTTTTCGTCGATATTTTAGGTATACAATTGTCAGAGATATGACTGCTGCTGGCCTTGGCTTAAACAAGTTCTGCTATACTGGACTTATAGCTGCACATATGAACAAGAAACCTGTGGCTGATGATTTTGCTACTAAAGTAACAATCACCTTAGCTGTTTTTCTTGTCCTTGTAATGTTTGGTTGGTGATTTATGAACACAATTTTACTTTTCTATGATAAGGTTGTTGAATTTGTTGAACGGTCGAAGGAATGGTTATCAGTTGATGCATCAAGTGCAACGGCTGAAAATGTGATGATGGGTGTTTCAGAAGAGGAACTGTACAATATTCCTACTGCGGAATATGTTCATAGGCGTGGAGGTTTTTTGAACAGACAATTGACTATTTATCATGTTGCTTTGCATGCCTGTGCGAATCTCAAGAATGTAGAGGTATCTGATTCTTAATTCCAGCAACATCTGGATATATATTGTTGGATAAACTTATTCAGATCAGTCCCTCTTTATTTCATTTTTGTGCAATTGCATATATGATCCTGCTATATTTAGGTCTTCTAATATGTAATATCATCATTTCTTACATAGTAGATGTCATCTATTCTCTTTTATAATCATGTTATAACTTAATTTCTATCATGCAATGTGTCTAAATGTCCTTGTTATGAATTTCTGTATAAAATACTTATGTTTCTTATCAGCTTTTTTTTTTTTTTTTTTCAAATCAAAGTAGGTGATGGAGACCATAATGGACATGTTAAAGAAGGATGGAAAAACTCCCGATGTTTTCATAGTAATACAAGTCATGAGGTGAAAGGCTCTTTCCAAAAACTAAATTGTGTTGTCTAATCCACGCAGTTTATAATTAAATGTCAAAGCATGGATCAACTCGGTTTGCATTATTGCACTAATTGCACGAGAATATTTTTTGGCTCACAATTACCTCAATTCTGCAATTTGTTCAGATTGAATTGGTTAGGTGTTCATCAGATCACTTCTTGTTTTGATGGGAATGACTGCAGCCATAAATTCTAAAGATCAAACTGTGATGTTATTATAACTATGAAGTTTGTATAGATCTAATGAAACTACAACTTGCCCTTGTTTCTGCATTGATCCACCAAGCTTGATCTAATGTGGTTGCCAGTTGAGTGTTCTTTGGTTTACTATTAGACCAGTAGTGGAAGCATGAATTGGCTTGATTGAACTCATTTTAGCAGCTCTTTTCATAATTCTGTTTCTGTTTTTAACATACTCCGCTTGGTGGCTTTTGTATTGGTGGTTTTTTTTTCATATTCTCGTATCGTTTATACTTGACATGTAGTTTGAATGAAAGTGGTGATGATCACATATCAGTAGTGTGCAAAAGTTACTTTTGTCTTGTTTTGTTATTTTTGGCATCTCATTTGTAGGATACTTGGTGGTCAAATTTCCTACCGAGTCATTTGTAGGATACCTGTTTTGTTATTTTGGCATCTCATCTCATTTGTAGGACACATGTCTGGCTAGGACTGCTAATACAGTTCTTCTGCTAAATATTTGTATGGAGTTAGAGGCTTGTTTATAAATATTGATTATACAGGACATAAGTATTGTTTATAACTAACTTCTCACAGATGCTATCTACATTCTGGAGATATTGATCGTGGTCTTAAAGCTTTTGAGGAGCACTTGAATTCTGGGGGTCTTCCCGCAGCAGAACTCTATGCAGTGAGTTTGGCCCAACTATGTTTCTGCTTTTACTGCATATTAACTGTTTCTTATCCAAAAAAAGGCAAAAAAAAAAAAAAAATCTATAGTCCTTGTTATCTTGGCTTTTTATGTTTGAGTGTCTGTCAGAGATTTCTCAGAATCGTGAGAGAGAGTGTGAGTTAACTGTTTCTAATATTTGTGTATTTTATCTCCCTTCCAAATGAGATTGCTGTAGTCTAGACACTTGAAACGAGTGATACAAGATTTTTCATTTAAGGAATTCAAGATAACTATTACAGAGATTTAGCTATTGTTTTCATGTGGTTGTAGACGCTTGTTGAGGGAGCCATGATTGGTTATACGCCAAAGGGAATGCAATTGGCTCAAGAAACACTGGTAACTTCCAATTTCTACTAAAATTACAATAGAAATTGACTTGATCTAAGGAATGTTATTTTGAATTTAATGCTTATTGCAGGTAAATATGAATTCCAGGGGCTTTTTCTTGAACCCCAAATTAGGGAGTGACCTCCTCCTTGCAGCAGCGGGAGAGAAGGTAGGTTGATGGTTTATCACATTTTTAGATCACGAGACCCTTGTGGGTAACAGCTAGCTGCTCAAAATTCTGAAATTTATCACTGTAGGTTCATGTGATTAAAAAATGAGTTATTTATTTATTTATTGTATTACCATGCAGACCGGTGGGTATACGACTGCAAATTATATATGGGATCTCTTGCAAGCTCGAAAGATAACTCCTTCATTTCCAGCTGTGGAAGCTTATTACAATGGATTGAAGGTGATTCTCTTGGCTTTCACTTTAATTCTTTTATTATGGTATTTGTTATCCTCGGCATTGATATTTGATAATTAATACATACAACTCCATTCTAGTAGTAGTTAGAGTCTGGTCGAGTTGACATTCATCAGAGGTTTACCCAATTACTGGCATTCATTTCGGTGATATTTGATAGTTTCTCTTTTGAAGGCATCTTATTCTTGTGTATTCTTGCACTAAATCAAATTGAGTAGAAGTTTACTACCTAAAATGCTTGAGATTTGAAATAAACTAAAAATAACTGTAACAGTATACCTGGAAAACTATGAAAGAATGTATTTCCATTGTACGTAATATATTGAGTGTATTCCCCACATTTGACTCTAAATGATTTGGTAGTTTGAATCGAACCGAAAGTTCGATAATCAAGTTTGATATGTGTCCCTGCTTGAAAGATATTACCTAAGCCTATGATAAACAGTGCTTTATTTTACTATCTACATATACTTGGTTACGTTTACTAATTCATTGAGCTCCCCAATCACGGGATATGCTTTTTTTGTCTCTGTTTTTGTAAGTCAAAAGTTCCTTTGCTAATGGAAAGCTTTTGATTTGTAGGAACGTGAGATTCCTGAAGAAGATCCTAGGCTTTTATTAGTTTCTCGAACCTACAGCAATCTTCGGGTTAGATCTGGTGGCAGTGGACCTGGCCGATCATAATTCAAATCAAAACGATGCAGGGCACAGTTGCCATCGGTTTCTCACTGCCAGTATCGATATTGGTGAGCTTTTGCAGTGACCTTATAGCTAACCATATTGAGAAAGGTTTGCAGGGACCTTATATTGATGTACCTGTTAGATGGAGAGAGGTTTGCCAAAAAGATTTTATGTATGTTACTGGTTGACATAGAATCATGCTGTGGGTTAGGAATAGCTAGATTGTCTCTTACATTTGAAATTGCCAAATCCAAATTCTTTCAGAATAATATCAACCATGATTTCAATGGATTCTTCTTTGTCAGTTGAAATTATTGTGCATTATGATGTGTTAACCGATTTTCTTAAAGTGAAAGTGGAGATTTGATAGCAATTTGTTTTGGCTTTAGATTGGTTGGATGTTTATTTACATCTTATTGTGTTTGTGCAATTCCATTAGTTCATGAGTATTCATTTCATTCTCAGATGGTAATTAATATATATTCTTTTTATGATATCAAAGTTTTACTAAAGAAAAATATTATATATTTCATTATAAGGTTGGATTACAAATGTGAGATCGCACGCCGGGTTAGAGAGGAGAATAAAGCATTTTTTATAAGGGTCTGGAAACTTCTCTCCGGTATATGCGTTTTTAAATCGTGAGATTGATGACGATACATAAGGGCTCCAAACGGGTAATATTTGTTAGCAAGGAATTTGGATTGTTACTAATGATATCATAACCCGACATTAAGCAGTGTGCCAATGAGGACATAGGACTCTCTTGGTTTGGGCTGTTACAGTGATGTTAAAACCAAATATCAGACTGTGCCAACAAAGATGCTGGGATCTTAAAGAGAGTTTAGATCTCACATCGGTTGAGACACAACGAAACAAATTTTACAATGGTGTGGAAACTACCTCCTAACAAAACTAACACGTATTTTAAAATCGTGAGGTGTAACGATCCCCCCAATTGAAGACCAGAAATACAGAATCAGAGCAAAATATTGTCAAGCAATTGCTTTGAGAGTCAGCAAAGTAATAGTTTTGCCAAGTAAGGGTTCTGAGGCACTGTACATTCAATGTTTTTTTAAAAGGGATACACAACAAAGAAGAAACTTAATCATGGCAGTTTGCACAAAGAGTAAAACGACTTGCACAAAAGGGTTCACTTCTTCATCATATACAATACTACTACTTCTTTGGTTCACAATTAGCTACAGCATCCACCTCTCTGTGCAACTGCTCCATCCCTTGCCCCCGATGGCCCTTGAGGGCGCCCGTAACCGACCTTGATCCCAGACGACTGCAAGAACCCACAAAATATCGTAAAAATTCTACTGTTCTTCATGGTCATAATGCATTAGGTTTTTAGAATAGAAGCTATGCTATTAAAAGTAGTTTAAGCTTAGAGAAACAGATATTATTTTATGCGAAAACATACTTTCATAAATGAACGAACACAGGAACTGTAATAGCCCAAGCCCACCACTAGCCGATATTGTTGTTTTTAGACTTTCCCTTACGAGCTTCCGCTCAAGATTTTTAAAAACCGTCTACTAAGAAGAGGTTTCCACACCTTTATAAAGAATGTTTCGTTCTCCTCTCCAACCGGTGTGGGATCTCGCAAGAATACAATAATATCACACAAGTAATCTCATTGGCAGCATCAATATCCTTGATCCGATTAGTTCTCTGACTTAGAGAGTAAAGATGGCTACCTAGCTATAATGGCATTTTCTCGACCCAACGCTCTGAAATGATTTGGGAGATAGTAGGAAATTATTGGAGACCACCTTAGTCAACGCCATTTGGGAAGATAAATACCCAAAAAAGCTCAAATTCCTTGATGGGAGCGCCTTATCAGGCCACCCTTTTAGTAATGAAAAGGCTATGCTATGGACTCCTATCATCACGGATTTTTCTTTGGAATCTTTGGAAAGAAAGAAATTGTAACAGCCTAAGCCCACCGCTAACAGATATTGTCATTTTTGGGATTTCCCTTTAAGGCTTCCCCCCTTAAAGGTTTTTAAAACACGTCTGCTAGGGAGAGGTTTCCACACCCTTATAAAGAATGTTTCATTCTCTTCCCCAACTGATATGGGATCTCACAGGCACCAAAGAGTCTTTTTGGACAAGGAGCTTCCTTTGGACGAACTCCTCAACTCGGTTATAAATCGTGCTCCCTACTATCATTTTTCTTCTTATAGTTATGGTACCCTTTTATCTAACTGGGCAAGCTTCTTGTAGTACTCTCGACGTTTCATCCCTTTGGTAATTTCAGACCTCAATCGAATTGTTTCTTATATTAAAAAAACCGGTAGAGCTATCTTTTTCTTTCGTTAGAGGTTCTATATCGCAAACCAGAATGGGTAGGTAGCATTGACAGGAAAATAATCTGCATTTCTTTACCACAAATGATAGACCCAACTTACCTCATTGGATACATCAAAGACACCTTCTTGAATATTTTGAAGTATTTTAGCTGCAGTCTTTATGAATGCCTGTACAATCAAACACCAAGATGAACTGAGAGAGAATCTAAGAGACAACTAGCCTTTTTAGAAGAGGCACATGTCAAATAAACAAAACTGACCTCCTCAACATTTTGAGCCGTTCTAGCAGATGCCTCTAAGAATAAGAGCCCATTTTCTTTTGCAAATTGTTCTCCCTCTTCCTTGCTTACAGCTCTTCGATGAGCGAGATCAGCCTTGTTCCCTACAAGCATAATTGACATGTTGGGATTTGCATGTTGCCGAGCGTCCTCCAACCAGCTTGCCAAGTGATTGAATGTCTCCCTCCTGGCAACAGAATCATGGGCTCATCTCAGATTTCTCAAAAAGAAAATAAATCAAATCCGTTCTAGCAGATTTCTCAAGATCAGAAGGTTGTGATGCAAAAATCCCAAGTGCAATAAAATATAGTCAACAATTAGAAAGAAGGGAAAGTTTTAAGATGATAAAAGAAGTAAAAGTTCATCCATCTATCCATTCATCCATTCACAAACTCACCTGGTAATGTCATAAACTAAGAGAGCACCAGCTGCTCCTCTGTAGTAAGATCTTGTGATTGATCTGAATGATTCTTGCCCAGCCTGCAATAAAGTAAAATGTCGTTACAGATCACCATCAACCTCAGAGTTCTAAAACACGTCTACTACGGAGAGGTTTCCACACCCTTATAGGCTTCCTTCCCCTCTCCAACCAATGTCTCACAGATTTTCAAGAAAGATAAACATAATCTGTTTTGACCATTACCAGAAAAGAATCTACTGTCACTGTTGTTTTAAAACATGTCTGCTAATGGCTTGCCATTTCTGTTTCCAAGATTATTTTAAAGAATGGATTAAATGATTTATATGAGAACGTTAATCCACAGATACCGGAAGAACTCTATTAATTCTAAAGTTGAAAACATAACATCCATGAGAACACAACTTCTAGAAAACAATTATTCGAACATTATAAGGATTCCAGTTAGTTAACTGAGGTATAATTATATGTTGGCTCTAGCGACCCCCTCGCAGTCAATTTGCCAATCTCAACCTACATTAAGAAGTAATAAAGAGTGGCTCGAAAATACCGCAAGGTTCCCCCCTGGTTGTATAACTTGGCTAAAAGTCAAAATTACATGGTAAGAAAGGTTTAGAAAGAAAGAAAAAAAAAAAAAAATTGCTATAACTTAGAAGATAGTGACCTATTCATAGCCAGAAAACCGAGGGCTTTCACCGCTATTAACAACCAAAATTCTGGAATTCGTGGGTTGGGTTGGGTTCTTCTATGCTTGGACCCTTCTTTAACATGCTAGTGACTACGAAGCAAGCTTTCGGAATTCAGCTGTTTTGACTTTGGAAGACTAAGGTCCCTAAGAATGGGCACTAGTCGTTTCGTATTTGGTCAAAATATGAGCTAATGATGGAAGTTACTGGCTCCAATAGACCATTAGATAAGGTGACAAATAGTGAGGGTGGGTCCAACCATCACACTACACATATAGACATAAATCTAAGGTCTTTCGTTTGGTCTCTTCGCCTTCTTTCAGGGCATTCATACCAACAACAATTAACTCGTCCAGTAGGGGGCACAGTACATACAAGACGACGAATCATTCTGCTGAAAACAGTTCCCTTCTTGCCCTTATGTCATAACCAGTGGGGGAAATTCTTTGATTTTCAAGAAACACAGGTCACTCAAAACATAACTTGTCCCCCATAATTCGTAACCGATACGGGTTAGCATAGACCACAGGATGACAAAAAAGATTCTTAATAAGAAAATATCTCATAATCCATTGTCAAATCATTTTCTTCTAGAAAACAACTTCCATAGAGATAAAAAGAAGAAACCAAGGCAAGAGGAGCTAAGCACAAAGAACAAAAAGATGAACTAGCCAGAGACCAAACCTACTCCCAAGAACTCTCCACAAGCCTCCAAGAATCAGTCACTAAAAGTCTCCAAGAATCTGTCACAAATAGCCTTAGCAAACTGACTTTCCCCTAATGATCCAAACATGAGCCATCTTGAAATCGATTGATATCATGAGTTTCTGGAGGGGTTTCTCAGGATCTAATCCTATCAGCTTAAAGTTCTTGGTACAATTCCTCACTTACAATAGAATCTTCCAGTTCATGTAACTTCCTGAATTTCTTTAATTCCCTTATACAATTCCTCTCGTTACACATATAAAAAGAAACTAAACTATGCAAAGATAAAGAGTACAAAGAATCAAAACTCACAGTATCCCATATCTGAAGCTTAACAGGTCGGCCATCGATGGTGACCATACGAGCACCAAACTCAACGCCAATAGTTAGATCGTGCACAGGCTGAAACCTCTTGTCCGTGAATTGCAACAACAAGCAAGATTTCCCAACACCTGTAATCCAAACAAAAACCCCAAATTCAAAGCAAATCCTCATAAACCCAGAAGATAAACACAATCAAAACAAAGATTCTGAACAAACCCGTATCGCCGATGATGATGTACTTGAAGAGGTAATCGTACGACATAACTAAACACAGAGATGAAATCAGATCAGCGGCGATATGAGTTCGGAAATTGATATGGAAACGGAAAGATTCAAAGAGAATGTGATTTGGAGAGGGAATTTAGCGAAGGGAAGAAGGTTTTTGACGTGAAAATGACCGACACGCAATGTGAAAATGGCCCCGCCAGCGCCGAAGGCCGAGGGAAATTTGGTTTAAAAGTGAGGTTTTAGTTGTGAGAATTTGGATTTTTATATTGTAGCGTGAAGGGAAACTTCTGGATATGGTGATGCCCATTTTTGTTCATTTCGTGGCCACCATGATTGCTGCTTTAATTCTTCATATTCTAATGGAAAGTTTGCAAAAAAACCCCTCACTTAATTGGGTTATTGCTATTATACCCTTTCATTTCAATCCATTTATCGAATCGTTTTATTAGATTCAATTGATCGATCAATTTAGTTTTCAAAAAAATTAGGTACAATTTTTCTCATTTTTCTATATGATCTGATTGCATGGACGTGAGGCATATCCGGGACTCTAAGTAGATGAAAGTGATGTACCTAGAACCGTTGTATTTGAAAGTGATGCATACTTAGAAAAACTTAGTGAAAGTTGTACATTCATAAAGGGTTTGATGTTCGTAAAAGTGATGTACATAGGACTACGCGTGCACGTAAGTGATGCATATCTAGGAGAAAAGAAAAGGAGTTGAAATGTAAAAGCAAGCTCCATATTTGCACATTATCGAGTCAATTGCTTCACTCCAACCTCAAATATAAGCTTACGATATTCGAGAATTTATGGTTCGATCCAAGGATCTCCATGAATTTAACCGCCTAAGAATTCTTGATTCCGATCTAGCACCCTAAGTATCTTCTTAAATTTAAACCGTTTCTTTGTCTCGTATTTTTAAAAAATGTTCCTCCCTTCTTATCGAGTTATTCTTAAACTAAATACTTAAATACTTGTCAGTAGCATAATAATAATGTATTGAATTGGATTAGCCTTTGAATATATAATATCATAGACCAAAGATAAAATGCTGAATTATCTATTAACTTATCCCCTAATACTTTAACAAAGATTTAGAAACTTATCCATTAAGTTTTCTCCCTAATGCATGAGACAAAATCATTAATTAAATTAAGAAAAGGAAACCTAATTATGTGAACCCACTTCACCTTTCATCATCTCATTTTCATCATTTTTAATAAGGGACACAATAATTCCAACAAAAAATCATCAAGTGCATGTTCGATGCAAAACTGTAACCGCCAAAGCTCACCGCTAGCAGATATTGTCCTCTTTTTGGACTTTCCCTTTCGAGGGTTTCCACACCCTTATAAATAATGATTTGTTCTCCTCGATCTCACAAAAATGGCTAGAAATGTGGTTGTGAGCTATTTTCTAGCTAAAGAGAGTCCCTTGGCTAACACATTTATCCATCAAATTCAAGATTCCGAGCAACGTTTTGTAAACGACACAGGTATCAATGATTGATCCTTGTATACGTTTAAATGTAAAGGATGCATAAGATCACACAAAGCGAAGTTTATCGAATTCTAAAGAAGTCAAGTGATTTGAACAAACTGGCTCTATCTAACAGCCCTCTTAGGTTGGAAATATTGATGAGTTTAAATAAGGTCATTGACAACATGAACGCAAGGCCAAACTAAATTTTCCAGTAATGTCCACTTGAGAAAAGGAAAAAGAACCATACTTTGAAATTCCCCAAGAACCGAAATCCTCTCACTCCTCCATAGCATCCCCTCCTTCAGTTATCTCAACCTTTTCCTTCAATGGCGTAATCTTTGTCAGCAGAACCTCTGTAATCAAAGAAAGCACGAGTCGGTCCGGGGGGTGGGGTGTTAAGGAATGGGGAAAGAGAAACAAAACGTTAAAGATGCAGAAGAGAATCGAGTATACAAGCGACTAACCCGTTTTCTTGGAGAAGGAATAGCCTTTCGAACTGACGTAGGTTCGGGGATTTGGCGAGAGGTGGTTTCGTAAATATTCCTTCTGGCCCTGCAACACCAAAAGAAAGGAACACATCAAAATTAAACGTACTTTTTAGATTCAATTTTTTCTCTATTTCCTAAAGATCACAAACCTTGGTGATAACACAAACATCAACGTTACTTCCACTTCCCAGATCATTAAATATTCCAGAACATATCGCCTCAGTAACAAGTTGAATCCCTTCTTCCCTCTGCAACAAAGAAATAAATGCCTCCAATCGATATGGCGTATAGAAAGAAAAAAAACAGTGCCACAACTAAGATACACCATGTGATTCAAATTCATCTGTTATCTTACAGTCATGCCTTCTTTGTACTTTGATTCAAATACAGACATTGCAGCTAGAGAACCTGATCCCATTGTAGCAAATGGCAAGGTGTCAGTTGATCCATGAGGATATATCTGCAGATGAAGTATAGCATTAAGAGATGGCAAGTTATATAACCTAAAATCATTTGTTTTCCAGAACAAAACTCACAGTGTGTAGATGAGGTCCAGTAACATCGACTCCACCGAGTACCAAAGCAGCTGATACGTAACCTCGATAGCTGGAGAACACAATGGATGAGAAGATTTAAATTTCATGCAACAGATAGATGGGAGACACAAAAAAGAAAAACCTAGAGGACAGAAAAAGACTACCCAAAAAGGTGTTTCTTGAGAAGGGTCAGTGCAGTAATAACCCTAGATTCTCGACCAGTGTGGTAGCGATGCAACTGCAATTGGGAGCTAACCATGTCTACAAAATTTGAGAATAATAGAATATGTTCAGTTCGAGAAACAATATTAACGGAACTTAACTTGTAGAAGCTAGATATCACCAATTACCTGTTACTGCCTCAGTGTCAGCAGCAGTTCCTGCACCACAACAATATATGTTTGGTGCCATGTAATGAATTTTCTCACAGTTTTTGTCAGCAACAATAGGGCCTTCAGTAGCTCGTGTATCTGCTCCAAGAACAACACCATCCTGAAGCAAATCAGGAAGATTTGAAAAAAAAAACATTAATTTGAATATATAGAAGAAACTTTGGTGCATAATAATTAAATTGAAAACAAGAAACCATGCAGTGACAAGTATTACATTTACTAACTATATGGACCAGGTTATTCAATCCAGTTATCTTTTCAAAAACGACGCACATGTTGACAAGGAGAGCAATTAAACACATCAATTTTTCATACAAAACAACCTATTTTAGTACAACTAAGACTTCTCCCCCGATAATTTTGTAGCTAGCTAGTGTTTGTGCAATTTTGTTGGGTCTTTGAGGTGAGAGGAACAATAGAATCTTTAGAAGGATTGAGAGGTCATCGGATAATGTCTCCGTTCCTTGTTTGATTTCATGTCTCCCTATGGGCTTTGCTTAGGTATTTAAGGTTTTTTGTAGCCATCCTTTAGGTCTTATTTTGCAAAGTCCCTTTTATAACTTGGCTCCTATCGTTTAGGTTGTTTTTTTTGTATACCCCTTGTACTTACCTTCATATAAGGCAGATCTGCTATAGTTCAACATATAGGTATTAGGGGCCATCTTACTATATCGATAGCATGACTCGTAATGTCTGTAGTAATTCAAGCCAATCTTTCTTCATAGTTTTCTCTTCCAAAAGTTCAAACCATTACACTGTATTTATACTGAACATGGACCGAGTTACATTTGACACAAGTTCAGTCTGCTATAGGAAGGCAAAGGTGCTCAACACAAAAACACAAGTTTCCCATACACTCCTAAATTACATTTGGAGTAATTAAAAGGAACATTGCTCCTTACAGAAGGCCATCAATGTCAATACACAACCTCAGACTCAATAGCCGAAAGATCAATTAATGCAAGCTAAAAAAGGTCAATTTTCTGAAACTGATAACGTGATACAAGAGAACTCAAATGACAGAAAGGAAAAGGATTGTTCCATATATCTATTAAGGTGGTTATGGATTTGCGACAAGAAATGAAGCCTAATTTTAGGGTTACCGACCCTTTTAATCCAGTCCATATATTGTCTTTTTCGGGAGCTCGAGGAAATGTATCTCAAGCACACCAATTAGTAGGTATGAGAGGATCAATATCCAATCCACAAGGACAAATGATTGATTTACCCATTCAAAGCAATTTACGTCACGGGCTTTCCTTAATGGAATATATAATTTCTTGCATCCTTAATGGAATATATAATTTCTTGCTAAGGAGGCGTAAAGGAGTTGTGGAACACAATTAATGACCTTTAGGACATCATTTATCCGGAAAAAAATTTGAAAAACAATAAGATCGAATTGTGTAACACCCTAAATGTAGCAAATTACCTTGAATATTAAACCGACAATGGTAGTTCCAGTCTTGAGGTAAGTCGGAGATGTAAGACCCTTCTTCGAAAGCATATCATTTCTTCTGCAGAGATCAAAACTAAACCCACCTTTGGGAGGAACATCAATCGCAGAGCTAGACATAGCTAAATTTCAAGTGAACCTGCAAAGTTATAATTACAAATGAAATGATATGCTAACTTATAATTAAAGATGGCATAAACGAAACAAATTTCACAAGCAAAATCTCGAAACCTCAAACCAAGACTAGAAGGTCGCGATACATTCCCAACTTATAATCACAAAATATCCAGAAATCTAACATGAAAAAGTAGAAAGAAAGAGAAACAAATCCCTAATGCTAACACAATCCCACACCGAATCCTTCATGCAATACAATATCAAAGAATTTACACGCTAAGCGTTGTGATTCCTTCATTGGATGATCTAATCAAAACCTAAGAAATTTCTTCTACAAAGCTGTATCTCAAATTCCTAATTCGCTGCAATCCATAACCAGGAGCCAACAGATTAAAATGCCAGCGTCAAATTCTTTGATACGAAGAACAAAAGAACTGGAGGATTCAGATTTGCAGAAAGAAAACGAACCTGAAAACGAGGAACGTGGAAGATCCAAGTTGGCGGAGCAGCGAAAGTTCGAGTGAGGTTTTAGCGAGTTACCTCCCCTTCTCGTTTCTCTGTCTAAAAAGCAAATAGCTTGCAGAGAAGGAAAAGACTTTCTTTAAAAAAAAAAAAAAAAAAAAAAAAAAAAAAAGGAAGATGAAAATTGAAAATTGGGCCACAAACTTGTGCAAAATCAAAATTGGGCCACAAACTTGTGCAAAATTAAAATTGGGCCACAAACTTGTGCAAAATTAAAATTGGGCCCAAACGGTGTATTTTGATAATTTATTATTATTATTTTTTAATTACGCTCATGAACACTAAAGATATGCAACTTTTCCTTTGCCTTAGACTCGATTAGAACAAAAGTAAGAAGAAGGAGGCGGAATGGGGAATGGAGAAAGGAAAGGGACAAGGGCAGACAGCCTTCGGGGGTAGGGTAGGGTACTAAAGGTCCTCGACCTTCCGAGCGATTTTTCTTTTGGGCAGGTGTTCACCATTGGATCTCGTCAATACAGCCCCCATAGTTTTCGTTATTGAGAGATATATATATATATATATATATTTTTATGGGTAATCTGCTCCCATGTTGAGTCAAATCTAAACTCAATCTCTTTCGTCTCTCAGAGAGCACACTAGTTGAGGTGCCTTGCGTGATTCTACTGTATTTTTTATAGGGGTGAGGTTGAGTATCACTATTGCTTGAACGTTCATGTGGTTATTTAGAAATAATGAGTCACGAATATTATGGGATAGAAGTGAATGTATATACGACGTTGTTATGCATGAAAGATCTTCTAAGTTGCATAATATGAACAAACATGAATTTTTGTCTGTGAGACCTCTTGTTAAGCGTGTTTCTTTTTAAAAGATTTTTTTTTACTACATAAAAGTGATGTACATGGAGTCAATGTGTATGAAAGTGATGCATACGTAATGAGGCGTAAGGTGCAAGAAAGTGATGCTGCCTTGAGTTTGATGTACATGAACCACCTAACCACCTATATGAAAGTTATGCATATCTCGAGAAAAATAAAAGAAGTATGAAACCAATGCCAAAATTGAAGTTCTACCACAGTGACGATCATAGTATGCATATAATAGCAATTCCAATTTGGTCGTGTTTTAGAAGTCAGTCATATTTAATAAATATAACAAAGCTAAGAATGATTTTAGTCGTTCAAACTAAAAGAACGTGTTCTTATCCTCAAAATCAACCACAATTCAAGTTAAGATATGAGCAGCCACCTCCAAAATCCTAGAAACAAAGAGAGGAGGGGCTTCTAAACTTCTTCAAAGGCAGAGCATGAAGGCATCATGCATCATCTTCTTTCAAAAATGATTCTTGGAGCCGCAAAAACAAGAGGACAAAGTTATTCATTGGGATGCTAGCTTCTTTGCTTTCTCAACTGCTACTACATAGTAATATAATCTCCACAGAGTGGTGTTATTCTACACAAGAAAAAGAAAAAGAAAGAAAGATTCAATCCATGGTCACGTATGGTTTCGTTGAACACATCTCTTTGTGGGAAAGACTCGCACTCTTTATTAAAACTAATCGAGAAGAGATTACAAGACACTTTGTAGAAACTACTTGTTGAGGATTGTTGGGAGTGAGCCCACATTGGCTAATTCAGGGAATGATCATGAGTTTATAAGTAAAGGAATACATCTCTCCATTGGTACGAGGTCTTTTGGGGAAGCCAAAGCAAAGTCATGAAAGCTTATGCTCAAAGTGGACAATATTCATACTATTGTGGAGAGTTGTGATTCCTAACATTACTGCACCCGGTGCAAAATAATTAGCTATCCTTATTCCTAAAATACCTAAATTATTTTTCTAAAATGCACGGACAATTGTCTCATACGTTTAACCTTATTTGATCTTATTTGATGATATTATGTTTCACTTACCACTTTATCCAAATCAATATGGATTTCATAAGAGGAATCCGTTTCGTCTGTCATATGTTGGATGATTTCTGCGACACGGCCAAGATTTTGGGGTGGAAGCACCTGAATCATTTTCTGAAGCTGTTCCTTTTCCTTGAAGGTCATAGGCCTGAAAAAGAAAGATGATTGTTAACCAGACAGATTGAAAAGAGAAGTTTAATGACTCATTTGGGTTGTAGATGCTGTAAGCAATTTGTTCATGGAACTCGTTGGTTGAAAAAAACCATCAAAGAAGTTGATACTTTTACGAAATACCTAAGTTTGTACATAATAAACTAAACGAGAAAGGCCTCATAGCGATCGACTCCATTAATCGAGCACGATACATATCAGTCTCTCTATAACTTGATGCAGTACCTGCAATTTGATGTTACAGAATCAAGAACTTCCTCAAGCTGTTGCTCCATGTGTCCTAGCTGAAAAACCACTATTCAATGTTAATCAGCAGTTTAAGTATAAGAACTGTGGTGTAATAGAAGTATTAAAACTGGTGGTATAGGAATTTTATGAATGGTAAATCATCGACAAGCACCAAGAAAAGAAGAAACAAATTATTTAGTGTTTCATTTCGATATTAACTGTGAAATCCATTGTTGCGTCAGAAGAAGGATAGCTATACTGATCTGGTATACTCTAAAAACACCCTCGATATAATGTTGACGATCTTACAAAGATAAAATTTCCGTTAATTTTCATTTACTGATCTCGTCTTTTACGATGGTGTAATAGAAGTATTAAAACTCGACAATGCACAACATATTACCCAAAGCAATTGAATGAGCGTGCAATATAAATCAAAGCAAAAGGGAATATGGATAATAGAATGTTACTTTTCCAGACAGTTCGCTTGAAAGATTTGTCACTATTGCTTCGATCTGCTCACTATTATTCTCTAGAAAGAACTGCAATTCATCATCTATCTGGCATGAAAGAATGAAAGATAAGCAAAAATATAGAGTTTGAGGTCTGCGCAAAACTAGATCATCACCATGCATTGTTATGCCAACAAAATACATTTTGACTACCTGACAAAGAAAATTGACAAACTACATCAACGTATAACAAAATTTCTAGATCCATTATTTTCTTCCTTCTTAGGACACAAAGCACACAAATGTTTGTCAAACTTGCTAAAAGCCATTAAGGGAAGGGTGAGAGGAGGTTCAAAACCCTTTTCCCCCTACTAATGGAGGATCATAATATGGAATCATGGGGTGTAGTCTATGTAACAAGGTATTGAACAGCACGCAAAGGGCTTCCCAAAGATCATTTAACTAGGACGTTAGAAGCATGAAACCTCCCACCCCCGAGATTTCATCTCTTAAATTAAGGAGCTGAAGAGGTTAGAGAGGAACTAAGAAATCGGCATTTGAGGGAGAAAAAAACAAGTTAAGCATTAATCAATTGCATGCCAAATGAACAACTATCTCTTGGCTTCTCCCAAACAAACAGCTCAATGCTCGTAAATAAGAATATTTATGCCGTAAAGCTCAAAATACCATGATCAGCATATGACTCAAACTCAAACAAATTGTACAGGTTTCAACCTGAATCTAGATTTAGCTTATTGAGTGAAAAGCTATTTAGGGTCATCCAGAAAGATTCTATTCACCCAAGTAGTACAACTCAGAAGAAGTTGAGGGAAATACATCAGTTAACTTTCCACCATACTATTAACTTCTACTGTAAATCAAAATGCAGGTTAGCATAACGACCATCCAGAGAGAGAGAGAGGATGGGAATTAAAATAAAACTTTACCACTCTACTACTTCCAAGACTACCACAATTCTTGTGCGCAGATAGGCTGGTTGAAGAGGATGAGGATTTGAGTTTCTTACAAGGAGCTTGCTCTGCATCATTCATAACTATTTTGTCTACATTTTCCAAGTTCTTTTTGGATCTCAAATCTGACTTCAATTGTTGGATAGATAGAGCAGGCCCGAGCATCTGCAGCAGCACGATATTTAGAATTGTAAGTGGAAAACCATTAATTCAATCAACTAATTGTCATCTTGAGATTGAACTGAATTTAAGAGAAGAAACAAAGAAAAACAGAGAAAGAAAGAAAAAGATGAAGTTTACTCCACGATTCATAACAAGTTATTAAATTATCAAGCAAACAACAAGCCCCATGTCAGGTTAAGCTCAACAGCCTGAAACGTAGTAACCCAATTATCTTTGCCACTAAATACCTCATTTACTTCTTCTGAAAGAATAACAGCACTCTGCCTGAGCAATGCCTTCAGTTTTTCTTTCTTAAAATGAGAGAGCTTACGTCCCATGCTATCACCAAATGAAGATGAAGCTTCAGACATCCGTGAATCATGTGAAGAAGAAGTAGAAAGCAGATTATCCTCTTGAGATAACAAATCTATAACTTCCCGTCTGAAGTAACTGAAGTAATCAGGACCGAGTTTATCTTGGCCAGCTGCATCAGATTGATGCCTTGACATAACAAAGCAAAACCAGAGAAGACCGCACACTGCGTTAAATTTGCTAAGGAGTTAAAATCAGAGATCTGAACTAGCCTTCCTTCAAGGAAGGAATCCACAAGCATATTAAATTCAAAGAAGGATCGGTAAATATATCAAGACTGCCCAAGAGCATAACATGGATATAATGTTGTAAGTTGTCATGAAGTTGTATTTCCATAACTCTTATAACCTTTCATATGTTTCATATTCTCATTTATTTTGGTTATTAACTCTTTATAACCATTATGGTTCATATTCTTGTTTATTTTGGTTATTAATTCTCATTTAGTTCATAACTTTTTTGGTTAGTGTATGAGAATTAGTATTGCTAGGCCAAGCTTTGGTAGATGTACAAAGAAAGTTGCAGCTGATGATCGAGATTATTCCGAAGGCTCGCTCTCTTTTCATTCGGAACCCAGCTTCACCACTCTATCTCACTGTGGCTCTGAGCTTTCTTTCTCCTGAACCTGAAGTAAAGACGAACCTCAAGCTATTTGAAGAGAACCTTTACTCCTCTCTTTGTTGTCGAGTAAATTCATTCATTCAATCCTGAGCCTCTGCTTCTTTCTTCGGGTTTCGAGACTCAACTCAACAAGATTTCATTATCCTTCACTTCCAACTCAGGTTTCACTGTAACCAAAAACTTAGTGGATGAGAATTAGTATTGCTAGGCCTATATAAGCTTGTCTAGCATTGTTTTGAGATGCAAAGTTATTGTCATTTTGTATTTGCTTAAAGACAATCAGGAGGAATTTTGTTGAGAGACTTTGTAGTGTGAGAGTGTGAGAGATACACTTATAAACACTTTGGTTAGAGTGATTGGCTACCACCCATAGATGTAGGGAATTTCTTCTATCCGAACCACGTAAATCTTTGTGTCTCTTAGTTTAATTTCTGTTTGAGTGTGTGAGTATGATCGATCTTGCTTCCATTTCCGCTATAACAATAGGGTATTAGAACATTTTTGGTCATGACATTACGGTACAACAAATAACTTACATCTCTTCCCATAATAACTGGGAAGAAAATAGAACACAGAGGAGTCTCAGCGCTCCCCTTCTTTGAAAACCCCAAAGGGGATAGAACAAGTAAATGCACTTTTCAATCCACATTCTCACCAAGTACAAGAAAACGCAAATACTCATCAAAATCTCACATAATAGAAAATCAGCATCGCGATGATCTTAGTATCAAAAGCCAAAACTAGTAATAAGCGTTCGATTAAAGGCAACAAAATCCCGTATCTCTAACTGCGTCCTCGCCATCCCCGAGCATTAATACGTACAATCATAGAAACATTTCAGAAACGAAAACTACGACTCATTGAGCAAAAATCTCGAGTAAAACAATCTATCGAGTACTTAATCTGCAATAATTTCTTCAGGAAGTTAACCAGAAACAGGAAGCTAATAAATATCAACATAAATTCCCCAAATAACACAGAAACAGAAACAGAAAAGTGAAGCAAATCTCTCCAAACCATAGCTTCGCAGAGATAGAACGATACTAACGTACTTCAACTCATAAACGAAGAGGAAAATTTCCATTCTCGGGAACCAAACAAATCACAGTACAAGTAAATTAAATCAACCAGTTAAAAAATGATTCGAAAAATCGGAAAAGAACAAACAAGAGAGAGGGAGAGTATAGAGAAGATAACGTTACAGAGAAACGCGAGATGATCGGAGAGATTGAAACTTCTGGATTCAGTGGAAGTGGAAATGAATATCTCGTAACATAATTCTAATGATTTACGAATTTCGAATGTTTAAGGTGTTCCTATTTGAGTTGGATTGAATTTTTTTTTTTCTTTTTGAAGAATATAATATTTATCAAATAATGAAATCAATCTAATTTAATCGATAATTTTTTATAGTTGTATTGTTTTTAATTTAAAATTTTATTTATAATAAAAATAAAATATTAATTCATAAAATATCTATTTAATTAAAATTTATAACTTAATTATAATATATTTTGAAAAATCAGGTACAAAATAAATAAAATTTATTTTTAAGAGTGAATAAACAATAAAATAATAATTATGAAATTAAAAAATATATATGGACATATAATTAATCCGTAATAATAATGTATAATTTAATATTAATAATAAATTTAGATTAATTTCAACCCAATCTAATTTTAGAATAATTTAAATTATATAAACTAAAATTCAATATTAAAAAAAACAAAAAAACAAAAATTAAAATAACATTTTAACTAAAAAATTATTAGTATTGTTTTCGAAGATTCTAAATATGCTATCAAATTATTTAAAAATTATTAAATATGCAGCATGTAGCTCCAATTGATAATTTCTCTGCCCTGTTTTCCAAAACTTTCTTCTTGAATCGAGGCCAGAAGCTTGAGCATACGTCGCTTGGTTGTAGGCGACGCAAGAACGAATAAACTTAACTCATTTGTTGCTTGGAAGTGAGTGCCGCACAATCGCAAGTCTGCTGCCATCAAAGTGCGAATGTGACAAGTCGTCATAACTCCACAGAAAACTCCTACTTAAAACCAACCTTCACAATTAAAGCCGGCAAAAGTACATATCTAACCCTCACAATAAAAGCCGTCAAAAGTACATATCTCATTTGACACTTTTAAAAAGATAAAAAATGTTTTTGAACTTCATATCCAAACTTTTTGATCATGTTTTCAAAAGGTCGAAAAGTTCTTAACGAAACTCCGTTAAAAAATATTATTTATAATCAAAATTCCAAGGGACAAAAGAAGCTACTAAAAGTAGTTTTTTCAAGCCAAATAATATCGACGATAAAAATTCAAGCTTCTAACTTTTGATCGACGTCATAATGCTCCAAGCAATTAAGCCATGCAGAACTCGATACGGATCGATGTCATAAATTTCCAAACAGTTTAAGCCATGTAGAGCTCGATACTATCTTCGTGTTTAAAAACATAATAACTTGTAAAGCATACACAAAAGCAAGGGATCAAAGCTTTTCCTCATGCATCCCCTTCAACAGATAGCTAATTTAACATAAAATATGAACATTCTGAGCAACATTTGCAAGTAAAGAAAGGAAGAAACTTTGCTGTTCGAAGGTTTATGCAATAAAAATGTACCAAAATTCTCACCTATATTTGCAAGTCAAGAAAAGCAACGGTAAAGAGTTGCATTCAATCAACAAGCTACCACCAAAATTAGTATCATATGACACTAATGTACGATGATACACGGGCTTATTTGAAGTGAATGACACCCGATATCCTTTTTTTTCCTTTGAGTAACTAATTACGTTTAACGTCCCTTTATGACCGCGAGCACCAGCGAGTGGTGTGACGACGACCAACTTGATTGAAAATAACGATTTGAAGGTAGTTCAAAACTGGAATTGGCATAATATCGCGAAGTGGCCGCCTAACTGAAGAACCAAAAAGCTCTACGTCAAACTAAAGCCCCTGAGAGTTGGCCACGAGGCAACAGCCTCTGACATCAACAATAAATGAAACAAAGGATATGAACCTCCGACCTCTAAATCGAGGTCGTATGTAGAATCTAAAAACTAATAATAAATAAGACATTTCTAAAACTTTCATCGTAAAGAGAACCAAACAAATATTGAGAATATTGTTTTCAATTACATATATCACGATAGATCCTAAAATATTAACCCCAACCTAAATATCAGATCCCGATAATCATCAAAGATATTTACAACCCGAACAATCCAGTTTAGCTCAAAACCGGGAGTTAATGTAAGCAAACCATGCATACATCCTTATTCAAAACAAAGATTATCAATCAATCTTCTTTACCTCATGCACAAAACCTCAACAAAGATGAATATTAATAATATCGACTCGACTTACTTTCGACTTACTTTCTATATCAGCACATTATAAATATAAATATCAATATCTAAACTATTAGGCATAAAAATTTGAAATTCTGAATGTTCCATAGAATTTTTGCTTTGAATCTTACCGTTTCTTCATTTGTGATAAACCAAACAGAGCAAGTGATCCGCAGACAAATATTCTGATCCTGCACAATCACAATGAAACGTTAATGGTAAGATGAAGGGTCCACAACAAAAAGCGTTGTGACATGGAAGGCATTTACTAAAGAGGAAGAAAAGAAGTTGATTCAACAGAACCTTTACTCTTTCTCAAGCCTATAAATTTGGCGACCTATCTTGCAGACATTCCATAAGCTTCTTCTTCTCTACCTTTGCATTGTACAACAATGGCGGGCAGTAATAAGTTCTCACTAGCCTCTAGACATCAATTGGCCAAGGGTAACAAGTTCATGTTCGCCATTTCCGACGACAATGCGATGATGAAGCAAATAACAGCCACCCATGATCCTGATGATCGAGATGTCGATACAAGATCCCTTCTACATCTTGTCGAAAACATTCTGAAACGTGCTACATTAGCTGCAGATCCCATGGTATGAAACTAGTCCATTCTGCTTCTGCACGTATAAAAATATCGAACACTTAATGCAGACAATAGAGTAAATTGTTGAAAATGGTTGCTCAACTAATTATGAATGGTAAAACAGGGTTCACATGAACTAGAGAGTTTGGAGAAAACAGACACCAATCAAGCAGGCTTCACGACCATGTTGGAAGCGTTGTCCTACACAATTGATAGGATTTCGAGTGAGGTGATTGAAAAATGATTATTTTTAACTACTCAAGTTTCAACTAGCCCTACACATGAGTGATATATGATATTGAATATTGACATGTTATTGTGATGAACATTATCAGATATCATACAAGGCATTGGAAGGGATAGATCCACATGCAACATCATTGGCAATCTTTAACATGTTGGCAAACTACCAATGGGATGCTAAGCTGGTGCTAACATTAGCAGCTTTTGCTATGAACTACGGGGAATTCTGGCTTCTTGCTCAGATTCACTCCCAAAACCAACTAGCGAAAGCGATGGCAATTTTTAAGCAACTTCCAGGAATCCTCGAGCATTCGACTGCATTAAAGCCTAAGTTCGATGCGCTAAAAGATCTTGTGACAGCTATATTGGAGGTAACTTGGTGCATCATTGACTTGAAGGAACTTCCATCAGAATATATCTCACAAGAGGTTCCAGCAATGTCCACAGCAGTAACCCATATCCCGACTGCGGTCTACTGGACAATTAGAAGTATTGTTACCTGCGCAACTCAGACTACTAGCTTAACTAGCATGGGATATGAGTATGTTCTCCTCCTCTCTTTCTAGTCATCCATCTTCGATTTTTTTCTCTTCACAGCCATATCGTACCATGAACCGATAACCTTGTGGTTGTCTGGATTCAGGTTAGCCTTATCAACCAGTACCGAGTCGTGGGAGCTATCTACTCTAGCTCACAAGCTTAAAAACATTCATGATCATCTCAAAAAGCAGCTGGTGCTCTGCCACCAATATATAGGTAGATTAAATAGATAGTTTCTTTTCGCCCTCTCCACAACACTGATAAGTCGCCGTCCTTTAATGCAGAGGAAAAGAGAGACATTGAATCATTTCAAATGCTCGTTCGTCTTTTTGAAATGACCCACCTGGATAACATGAAGGTTCTCAAGGCTCTGATTTATGCTAAAGATGATCTGCAGCCTATAGTTGATGGCTCTACAGGGCAAAGGGTCTGGACATCTCACTACTGCTAACAAAACTCAGTTAACACTTCCAATTCTCACCTCTCAACATTCTTCTAACTATCGCTTGATTCTCTATTAAAAACAGGTTAACCTCGACGTTCTAAAAAGGAGAAATGTGCTACTGCTCATCTCAGACTTGAATATCTCCCATGACGAACTTTCGATTCTTGATCAGCTTTATAATGAGTCAAGGGCCCAAGGAATGCAGGTCGAGAGCCAGTTCGAGGTAGTTTGGATCCCGATTGTGGACTGTTAAGGATATTTAGTAATAAATTATAGTTTACCATATATATTATATTTGATATTTTATTATAAGGCAAATATCTAACATTTGCCTTATTACTATAGTATCTTTCCATTTATTGTTATTTCCATTTATTACTATTTCCATATCCTTGTAATTTATTTGATTATAAATAAGATAACTTTCACACCATTTAGGTGTGGTGGATTCAGCAAACATTCACATGGTATCAGAGTCATTTTGGTTTAGCAACCTAGATCCTTTCTTTTCAATGGCTTTTGAAATCTTCTACTGTTCTTCTCCACCACCACTGTTGTCTTTGATGCCGCAGGGGCAGTCGTCATGGCTGTCACATGCAGAGTCGATTGATTATTCTTTGGCTCCACCTTTTTGACCTCCAAATCATCCTTCGCCATACTCTGTACATACAACCTCACCTTTTCCAAACATAGCCTCTTTCATTTTCTTCCCAATTTTTCCTTCATCCTTCACAAAAACCCTAATCTTAGGATCTTCATCAGCATTCCTCTTCGAAAATATACAGAATCTCAATAAGCCCATCGACCTTCTGCAGAGATTTACCTTTGGAATCTGGGCGCCGCACTGGCATCTTCGCCAACCAAGTTGCCGCCGCCCTTCTCGCCAAAATTGGCTCCTTCGCCCCAATGTGGCGACTCTTCCAGCTGCCCTTCTCGCCAAAATTGGCTCATTCGCCCAATGTGGCGACTCTTCCGGCTTCAACATTGTCTTTGTCCCTTGCTCTAGGTTTCCCCTTCTACTTCTTGGGGTTAGACATATTCTCACCAGAGCCAAGTCAGCATCGTCGCTAAGCGACAATCCCTCTTCATGGGTTAGACATATTCTCACCGAAGCCAAGGCAGCATCGCCGCTGAGCGGCGATCTCTCTGCAGTTTTCGATGGCCAAGAAAGTGTTTCTCTACGCCTCCTCTGAACCAGGTTGTTAACATCTTCACGAAAAGTGTTTCTCAACCTCTTTGAATTTTTCAGATTCAAGCTTCACGTTCGTTTAAATCCGACGCTTAGCTTGCGGTGGGGTGTTAAGGATATTTAGTAATAAATTATAGTTTACCATATATATTATATTTGATATTTTATTATAAGGCAAATATCTAACATTTGCCTTATTACTATAGGTATCTTTCCATTTATTGTTATTTCCATTTATTACTATTTCCATATCCTTGTAATTTATTTGATTATAAATAAGATAACTTTCACACCATTTAGGTGTGGTGGATTCAGCAAACATTCACATGGTATCAGAGCCATTTTGGTTTAGCAACCCGGATTCTTTCTTTTCAATGGCTTTTGAAATCTTCTACTGTTCTTCTCCACCACCACTGTTGGCTTTGACGCCGCAGGGGCAGTCGTCATGGCTGCCACATGCAGGGCCGATTGATTATTCTTCGGCTCCACCCTTTTGACCTCCAAATCATCCTTCGCCATACTCTGTACATACAACCTCACCTTTTCCAAACATAGCCTCTTTCATTTTCTTCCCAATTTTTCCTTCATCCTTCACAAAAACCCTAATCTTAGGATCTTCATCAGCATTCCTCTTCGAAAATATACAGAATCTCAATAAGCCCATCGACCTTCTGCAGAGATTTACCTTTGGAATCTGGGCGCCGCACTGGCATCTTCGCCAACCAAGTTGCCACTGCCCTTCTCGCCAAAATTGGCTCCTTCGCCCCAATGTGGCGACTCTTCCAGCTGCCCTTCTCGCCAAAATTGGCTCATTCGCCCAATGTGGCGACTCTTCCGGCTTCAACATTGTCTTTGTCCCTTGCTCTAGGTTTCCCCTTCTACTTCTTGGGGTTAGACATATTCTCACCAGAGCCAAGTCAGCATCGTCGCTAAACGACAATCCCTCTTCATGGGTTAGACATATTCTCACCGAAGCCAAGGCAGCATCGCTGCTGAGCGGCGATCTCTCTGCAGTTTTCGATGGCCAAGAAAGTGTTTCTCTACGCCTCCTTTGAACCAGGTTGTTAACATTTTTGCGAAAAGTGTTTCTCAACCTCTTTGAATTTTTCAGATTCAAGCTTCACGTTCGTTTAAATCCGACGCTTAGCTTGCGGTGGGGTGTTAAGGATATTTAGTAATAAATTATAGTTTACCATATATATTATATTTGATATTTTATTATAAGGCAAATATCTAACATTTGCCTTATTACTATAGTATCTTTCCATTTATTGTTATTTCCATTTATTACTATTTCCATATCCTTGTAATTTATTTGATTATAAATAAGATAACTTTCACACCATTTAGGTGTGGTGGATTCAGCAAACATTCACATGGACCATTCCATCAAGTGGGATGATTTGATGCAAAAACGGTTTGAGTATCTCCGATCCATAATGCCATGGCACATAGTGCACCATCCTACATTGATCTCTAAGGCAGTTGCTAGATTCATCAGGGAAGTATGGCAATTCAGAAACAAGCCTATCCTTGTGGTTTTAGACCCTCAAGGTAAAGTAGTAAGCCCAAATGCAATCCACATGATGTGGATTTGGGGAAGTCTTGCCTTCCCATTCACCAGCTTGAAAGAGGAAGCTCTATGGAGGGAAGAGACCTGGCGGCCCGAGCTGCTCGTGGACGGCATCGACCCCGCCGTTCTGAACTGGGTAATTCAGCCATCATAAAGCTAAAGCTATGACTCATTACTGAAATCTCCATATTCAAATCTTAAAACCTTTCTTAAAAAACCATCTAGTTCTTCAATTGTCTTCTTATTCTGTTTTCAAAACACAGATTAAGGAAGAGAAGTACGTGTTCTTATATGGAGGAGACGACATAGAATGGATAAGAAAATTCACAATCACAGCAAAAATGGTGGCACAAGCAGCACGCATACCTTTAGAAATGGTGTATGTAGGAAAGAGCAGCAAAAGAGAACGCGTAAGGCAAATCATTACAACAATCACAACAGATAAACTAGGCTATTGCTGGTCAGATCTTACCATGATTTGGTTCTTCTGGACTCGAATCGAGAGCATGCTGTTCTCCAAGATCCAATTAGGAAAAGCCGACGATCGCGATCCCCTGATGCAAGAAATCAAGAAGCTCCTCAGCTACGACAAAGAAGGAGGATGGGCGGTTCTGAGCAAAGGATCAACCGTGATCGTCAATGGCCATAGCACCACCGTCTTGCCCACCCTCGTAAACTTCGATTCATGGAAGCAACAGGCCGCCGATGAGGGTTTCGACGTAGCTTTCAAGAATCATCACGACGAACTTCAAGGCATTACTCATCCTTGTTGCCGCTTTGAATTTCCACACACCACCGGGAGAATTCCGGAGAATTTCAAGTGCCCTGAATGCGATCGGCACATGGAGAAACTCACCACTTTCCTCTGCTGCCATGACGAAAAACTAGATGAATGAACCAATGGAAGAATACCTGGTTGACGTAAAATAAAACAGCAATTCTTCAACAATAAAGATTTCTTTTGTTTTAGCTATCGTCGTTAGCATCACGATTTTATATTTCGTTCCCTTCTCCAATCGATATGGGATCTCGCAGGTGCATCTCGATATTGGCTCGGGAGTACTCCGTTTTAGCTCGTTACGTATCGTTATTAGCATCACGATTTTAAAACGCGTCTACTAGGGAGATATTTTCACACCATTATAAGAAATATTTCGTTTCTTTCTCCAAGCGATGTGGGATCTCACAGGTGCATCTCGATATTTGCTCGGGAGTGCTCCTCAAGTCTCCCTTTCACGTAGATCGCTCGGGAGTGCTCTCTTCTTTGTCTTTTTCATTCAATGTCAACGTTGCATCAAAAAATCTTCGTCCTCGATCTCTATTCACAACGCAACATAGAAGTCAACATTTTTTTTCTCGGTATCTGTTTGTTTAAGTCACCGAGAAGCATTATGTAATCACTATTAAGCCAACGCTCATTCCTTTCAAGTTTGATTACGCCCCTAGACTCGTTACGTTGTTCGACTGAACTCTTAACTTTATTGTTGTCAGTCTAGTGCATTTCGTTTGACCACTTAGGTGAGATTTTGAAGTACGGAAGGTAACTCGTGCATCTTCAACCTTGTTTAGTTATCATTATTATATTTAATGTAAAGTTTATTGTTTAATAACTTAAATATAATTACAATAATAACTCGTTCTTTAAATATAATCTCGTTTTTCTCATCTAATGTCAGAAGATCCTCTATCAGTTGCAGAAAATTTGAAGAGGCTCCGTTTCCGTTCAACTCTTGAAAAATCGGTGGAACTTAACCAAACACGAACATTCGAAATCAAGAACCCGCGACGTCCAGCTCGAGAGGAGTTGTGTTCTACATGTTGCTTTGCCACTGTCGTTTATGTCTACAACGAACTTCTGAATTCACTTTGTAAGAAAATGTTACAACGAGGCATCGAGATCTCGGGCATACTTCTCCTGCCCGTTTCGATCCACGAAACTCATATAGGAAGCACTTCTCCTCTTGTTCTTATGATGTTTTCCCTTCACCCCCTTCCCTTTCCGACCTGAAAACTTCGACACGATCATTACCATGAACACGAAACCAGATATCGCCCACAGAGCAATAATCCACATCCTAAGAGAACTAAACATCCCGTCCTCTTTAGCCTCCTCCGATGATTCCCGAGAATTCTCTGTTGACAAAGTGTCGCCTTTTCCGACATCGTCAAGCTTTCCGAGTTTCCTCGAAACCACAGCTCCGCTTTCATCTCCCGAGTTCAAGTCGGTCAACGAGCTAGGATCCGGGCAGTTCATCTTCATGTGATGCAGATTGAGAGCTTCATTGAGTGTTCTTATACACTCTATGCTGAGCAAGTCCCTTGCAAATGAATCCTTGTCAGTTTGATCAAGTGTGGAAGGATCTGGTGGGGCTGGAAATTTGGCCCAGCATTTGTTGATCATGTCAGTTTCCCTCCAATTTGCCTTGTCAAAGCTCCAATTCCCAACTTTAAATTCAAGTCCATAGTGAAAAACTCTGTAATGAACTCCGGGATCGGGAGCGTATCCCGGGTATAACAATATTTCCGAGCTCCGAATATGATGTAATTGCAACTGTTCGAACACGAAAAAGAGATATTTTCAGTTTCATTCGAGAATATTCAATGCTCGTTTCGACCTGGTTTACAACGAAGACATTGAAATGATTGTACATCTCGCTAACATGCAACCTAGAACAATACCCACAACTTTCATAGCGTTTCGTTTTGAGATAGGTAAGCCTTATGTCTCCATAGACGAGCATTTAAAGCCTTGTAGAGTAGGTCTCGTAAATCTCGTAGCAAAATTTAAGGACTAAAACAAAACAATCGAAAGTAAATGTAACAGCTCAGGCCCACCGCTAACAGATATTGTCCTCTTTAGGCTTTCCCTCAAGGTTTTTAAAACGTGTCTACTAGGGGGAGGTTTTCACACCCTTAATAAAGGGTGTTTCGTTCTCCTCCCCAACCGATGTGGGATCTCACAATCCACCCCCCTTTAAGGCCTAGCGTCCTTGCTAGCACTCGTTCCTTTCTCCAATCGATGTGGGACCCCCACCAAATCCACCCCCCTTCGGGACCCAGCGTTCTTACTAGCACACTACCTCGTGTCTACCCTCCTTCAGGGTTCAGCCTCCTCGTTGGCACATCGCCCAATGTCTAGCTCAGATACCATTTGTAACGGCCCAGGCCCACCGCTAGCAGATATTGTCCTCTTTGGACTTTCCCTCAAGGCTTTTAAAACGCGTCTACCAGAAAGAGGTTTCCACACCCTTATAAAGGGTGTTTCGTTCTCCCCAACTGACGTGGGATCTCACATTAAAGGAACAAAAGTAGCACCATGGATCAAAATAAGTACCTCGGCAGCACCGAACGAGTAGCCATACATTTCACTGATCCAGCCAGATTGGTATATATCTCCCGTGATATTTGTTGCATAATGAGCTCGGTCCGCTCGGACCTCCTCGGTTTTATGCAGCCATAGCAAGGCAAATTTCCTGAGATCATCAATGTGCATGATAATAACACCACCAACCTTGTCACAAGCTTCAGGATGGCTTGTATGGAGTTTGGCAAGCACATTGTCACAGCCAATGAGGTAACTACCAGCAAGCATATATGCAAAACGAGTCGAAATAAGTATAGTTTTATGTCGTTTATACGCCGAGAGAGACATTGAAATAACTTCTTACTCGTAGGGAGTCGAAACAGGACGTCCCCGAGCTGCTTTGAACTCCCACGGCGTAATAGATCCTCTCATAATCATATCAGCATCAAGAATAACTATGAATTCGGCATCGGTGTCGACATGATTGAGCCAATGAAGCACTGCAGCTGGCTTGTTTATCGCCGGATACCTAAGACGACATCAGTGTCTACATTATAACTTTGCTCAAAGGCGGGCTCGTTAAGGAAGATAAAAAGAGATTACCAGTCGCCTGTTAATGGATGTCGGCTCATGGAAGGAACGTAATGGGTCGGAGCCAGATTGTGACCTTTGTATTCCTTCAAGTCCTCGTCGGTACAGCTGAGAAGTCGAGTAATGTTTCCAGGTTGGCCACTCAAGCGGAAACTATGCATAAGGCCTACAGTTTGCCAATCGAAATACGTAGAGCACTCGGTCGAGAAAAGGGTGTGGATCTTTGGATATGGTTCCTGCAGTTCATCGAGCTCGGGTTGTTTCTGAACAAGTTCTTCCTTCACTGGTGGTTTTGGAACATGTTCTTTCTTCGCTCGTCGTTTCGGAACATGTTCTTTTTTAACCGGTTGTTTCTGAACACGAACTTCCTTCATTACAAGAGTAGCAGGGGTTGGATACTTCGGTTTAGTTAGATCAGTAAAAATTTTACTCTTTAAAAAGCTTAAATATTTTGACCATGGTGGCTTCGGGCATCCGTTTCGTTTATGTTGCAACAGCAGGCCCTCGTTCAACACGTTCATACACTCTATATTTATAAGTAGCCCTCGCTTCTTATTTGAATCGGATTCCATTTGTTGTATCTGCACCAAGTTCAATTTTTAGCAACGAAGTAACAACTTATGAACTAAAATTTAAGCCCACCGCTAACAGATATTATCCTCTTTGCAGGAACAGGTCTCCGAGCTTCCTCTCAAGGTTTTAATACGTGTATGCTAGGGAGAGGTTTCCACACCCTTATAAGGAATGCTTCGTTCCCTTCTCCAACCGATATGAGATCTCACAATCCACCCCCCTTGGGGGCCAGCGTCCTCACTGGCACACCGCTCGGTGACTGGCTCTGATACTATTTGTAACAACTCAAACCCACCGCTAGTAGATATTGTCAGGTTTGGCCCGTTCCGTATCGCCGTCAGCCTCACAGTTTTAAAATGCGTCTACTAGGGAGAGGTTCCCACACCCTTATAAGGAGTGCTTTGTTCACCTCTCTAACTGATGTGGGATCTCACAATCCACCCCCCTTAGGGGCCCAGCGTCCTCACTGGCACATCGCTCGGTGATTGGCTCTGATACTATTTGTAACAACTCAAACTCACTGCTAGTAGATATTGTTTGTTATAGCCCGTTACGTATCGCCGTCAGCCTCACAGTTTTAAAACGCGTCTACTAGGGAAAGGTTTCCACACCCTTATAAGGAATGTTTCGTTCACCTCTCCAACCGATGTGGGATCTCACAATCCACCCCCCTTGGAGGCCCAGCATCCTCACTGGCACACGCACGACGACTAACTCTGATACCATTTGTAACAGCTCAAACCACCACTAGCAAATATTGTCCGCTTTCGCCCGTTACGTAACGCCGTCAATTTACTAGGGAGAGGTTTCCACAACCTTATTAGGAATGCTTCGTTCCCCTCTCCAACCGATGTGTGACCTCACAATCCACCCCTCTTGGGGGCCAGCGTCCTCACTGGCACACTGCTCGATGACTGGATCTGATACTATTTGTGACAACCCAAACTCACCGTTAGCAGATATTATCCGTTTTAGCCCGTTACGTATCGCCGTCAGCCTCACGATTTTAAAACACGTCTACTAGGGAGAGGTTTCCACACCCTTATGAGGAATGCTTCGTTCCCCTCTCCAACCTACGTAGGATCTCACAATA